AGACAGGAGGATCAGCATGAGTCCGAGATGCATAGCGAGACCCTGTACCAAATAAATAAAAGATTAAGACAGGAGACCCACAAGTTGTGAAATCAAAGGTAGATATGATTGACTACATAACAGTGGAAACACTTTGCATAGTAACGTACAAAAGAAAAACCCAGTAGACAATAGAGTTGGGAAGACCCATCTGCAATGCAGATAGCTGCTAATGGGCTGATACCACTGGGACTATGCAGAGGAGCAGCCACATTTGTTGCTGGTGGGAATAAAAGGGAAAGATTGTTCCCTGTATTGCTGATAAAGTACCACAATTTTTTTTAATTGGGCAATAAAACACATGTTCCCTTTAATCCTACACCTAGGCTGAGTTCTGTAGCAAACGTAAGCAGTAGAACTTAAGGGTATGCATTGGAAATAACTATTGCAGCATTATTTAAAGGGATTGCAAAAAGAAAACAGTAAATGTTCAAGGGGGAACTAGAGTCACAAGTACATCTACGCTATGGCTGGTGTAGAGAGTGACTTAGAACTGCTTGTGGCTTCTGTGTTGTGATATAAAGAGCCACAGATGCAGAGAAGTAGGCACACTGTGCATTTTGGAAGGCAAATGTTCTTGAACACCCTTATTTGTATGCATGTGCCCTCCATGAGAAGAAATACAGAAAGGTTGTATTTTTTTAGTACATAGAAACTGGAAGAGTGGAAAGGAAGGAGGAACATATTTTTTAAAGGTTTACTATTTTAGGAAGACTTGAAAAGGTCCCAATGTAGCTGTCACACAATTAATGAAGAGTGTGTGTGTGTGTGTGTGTGTGTGTGTTTGTGTGTGTACACTCACACATGAAAGTCGGGAAGGACAGGGCTCTGGCTATGGGGCAGGGAGGGGACTGTTAACTTAGGCAGGAGAAGTGTACTGCAGACCCAGTGTGTCCAACACCGAAGGAAACCTAATGCGAGCGCTGCTGGCAGCAGGTAACCATTTGGGGGTTGTAACCTTCAGTTTACAACCATGAGCAGCAGGGAGGTGTGCTGGCAAACATCTCTAATCCGAGTCCTGGGGACACTGAGGCAGGATGATTATGAGGGAGAGCTCAGTCTGGTCTACATAGGGAGCCTAAGGCCAGCCTAGACTACTTAGAGAAACACTGTCTCAGAACTAAGAAAAAAAGTATGTTGTTGTAAACTACTAAATTCTCCAGGGGAAAATTACTGTCCTGGATTCTGTAGAAAAGTGCTGGCTGCCTTTTTAACCAGCGCTGTGGCCACTAATTAAAACATGCACCCATAAAACATGCTGGCCTTCTTTGATCCTGATCTGATGTGGCCTTCTCATCCAGACTTGAGTGTTGGGAGAAGTTTGTCTGATTGGCAGTTCCTTTGGTGAGAGGAATAGCATTTTGCCCAGTCTCCCACCCATTGCAGACCAGTCTGGTTCTGGGCCACATCCTAGGTGCATTCTTTGCTCCCACCCAAGCCTGCTGCATTTTGTTTGAACAGCCTTATGTGATTCAGATGCGCCCCCAAAGTGAAAATCACTATGGCAGTGAGTAAAGCACCTCGTCCTGGAAGGGAGATTATCTGGCGGCTCACCTCAGCTCCGTTTGGTTCTAGATACCATCTAGGCCAGGAACCTGTGGCATGTGTGCCACAGCAAGCTGTATGTATCATTGAAAGCTCTAAAAGATTTGCCATTGCTGGCCTAGACGATATTGGAGGACCCTTACATTAGGTCAGCGCCTCCCTCAAGTTCAGCCTCCTTCAGCCACACACTGTCAGGCTCCATCTCTGGGCCAGGTGTGAAAAGTGACCCTGGGCAGAAAAAGGGATCATGGTGCTCACTTCCAGTATTGCTCTTCTTTGGGGCCTGAACCTTGGGCAGGTGTCCAGGACCTGGAAGCTGCTGCCTTACAGTCAGTGTGAGTTAAAAACAGGTGATCGCTGGATGTGGAGGCGTATACCTGAAATCCCAGTACTCAGGAGGCTGAGGCAGAAGAATTGCCTTGAGTTTGAGGCCAGTTGGGCCACAAGGTGAATTCAAGGCCAGCCTGAACTGCATAGTTACATAGTGAGACCCTGTCTTTAAAAAAAATAAAAATAAAATGACAATGCTTCCACTTGAAGTTTCTGGGAACCTTTTAACCTGCAACCTCCTGCTTCCTATGTCCAACTCCCTCCTGCAGCCCTAAGTGGCCAGCCAAAGTGGCCAGCCTGTGCCCACTGGGGTTGGGCAACTTTGTCACTAGACCTGCTTTTCAGCTTGGAGAATATGCTGGCTGTGTGTTTGTTTCTTGAGCAGGACAGGGAACAGCCCTTGACGTCAAGTCACCTGGGTGGTGGCGCCTTGTGTTTTCCTATTCTTTAGCTTTGTACATTACTGGGCTTCTGAGTGTATTTAGTGTTGCCTGTTTTGAGCTGAGTTATAATTTCCTTAAGTCTGGGTAGCACTTTACTGTTTCAAAGCATCCCATGTCGTTTTAATTTACATGTGACAACCTGCAAGTTAGCTGTCTCTCCCCACACCCCTGTTGTCCTTTTGAGAAAACCAAGGCTCTCTGATGCGCACGACTTGTGCTCAGCATCATACAGCCCTGGCCACAAACAGCTCCAGGCCTCCTGCTGTCCAGTGCTTTTCCCGCTATGCTGGAGTGGAGGTGGGGAAGGGGTTTGTAAGTCTTCCAGTTGGGCCACTATTTTTCTTTAATACCTATGAGTTCCAGATACTAAGTAGTATTCCTCCTTGATCCAAGAATGTCAGGTGAATTGCATTCAGGTTTTATGTCAGAGAGAGCCAAGGCCTCCTGTTTGTCCTCTCTCCCTACCCTGTCTGTCTCTCTCAGTCAGTCTCTAGCTCTCTCTGTCTCTACAGTACTGAGCTACATTCCCAATCTTTTTTATTTCTTTTGAGACAGGATCTTCTTACACTGTGTTCACACTTGAGATTTTCTTCTGGCTTAGCTTCAAGAGTGCTGGGGCTGCAGGCTCCGCCATACCTAGCTTCGTTTTTTAGTTAGCCTTCACATTTGCTGTGTCAGAAACCTATACTGTGTGGTGGTGCACACCTGTAATCCCAGCACTGGAGAGGCTGAGACAGGAGGAAAAACCTACAAGTTCAAGCATGTAGTGAGATCCTATACCAAATAAATAATTTTTTTTTTTGTGTGTGTGTGTCTCCACCTTTTTTTTTTTAATAAAATACTTTTTTTTAATTCCAAAAAAAAGAAAAAAAAAAAAAAAAAAGAAACCTGTACCGGACATTTGTCAGGAGACAGAAGGAGGGGACAAGCAGTTGCCCAGGCCCTGAATGGCCTGAGCTCTCCCCTAGCCCCCAGCTGAAGGGAATATATATGCCCCTGTCAGAATGCTGGCATCCAGCATTTAGTTCCAGTCTTAGGAGGGAGATGCTGAAAGGGTTTAGTAGGATCTATTGATAGAGCCTTATTCCAGAGGTGCTTGTTAATGTTCTCAGGATCCAGGCCTCTGGTGTCAGAGCCCACAGTGTCTCCTGTTGCAGTTGGTGCCAGGCATGAAGCAAGCTTTCTTTTGGCTTTTCATTTTCTTGCCCTTGAATGGGATGTCATTCCTTTATTCTTCCTTTCCTTTCTTTCATTAAAAAGGGGGGGGGCAAATTTAATTCTTTACATTGGAAGATTCTGTATTATTAGTGAGATTACACTCAGGGAGGTCCCAGGGTTTTCCCCCACATACCTGCTCAGGCATGAAGGCTGCTAGATGGAGCACCATGAAAATTGTTGCTGGTAAACAGAGAATGTAGAAAGCTGTGGAACCTAACTAACTTGAAATTCAAAGCAGCAAGTTTATGCGGCCCAACCACATGTGTGGCGCTATGCCACAGCCACTGGTGCTGGCCTTGGTGGTCATCCATGGCAGAAGTGCGATGGGACCTACTTTGCTGGCATTGTGACCCTACAACTTCAAGCCTCTGTGCCTTGGATTCCTTATTTGTTAATGGGGAAAATAATAGTGCCCACCTCGAGGATTGTCATGAAAATCCCATGCTTCCAGGAATTGTACCATGCTCAGAGAAATGGCCATATGTAAAGGAAGTGCTTCCATAAATATCAGCCACTGTCACACAATTGGATCACTGAGTCACTGAGTTCAGTCCCTGAATAATTATTTCAGTGTTAGCTGTTGCTGTCATCTGCGTTTTGAATACATTTCAGATGTGAGCTTTGGAAATGAGAATTTGTGAAAATGAGAATGTAATAGCTTCGTTTGGGGGATCTTTTATAGCGCTATAAAGATTTTGAATTTTTATGAACTATAAAAGTTCAAATTTTGATTAATTGATGTTTAAAATGATACACTAGGTATCCTTTAATTTGGTGATTTTGTCTTGACAGATATGCTCTTTACTTCCTGTGTAGCAGTTTAGAATTGGAAAAAATAAATGATTTGGAAAGAGCCTGATTATAATAGCCTGCCTATCAATGAAAAATGAGAGAGAAATGAGACATTTTTGCCAACGTAGATTACTTTGGGTTGCCCAAAGTGTAACTTTATTAATCTTATAACAAATAGACTATTGCTGGACTCATATTATAAAAGTTATTAAACGAGATGTCAGATTAGCTATTTTTAAACTTCTTTTCTCAGTCATTTCTTAAAATATGTGAAAATAAGCCAGAAAATCTGGTTTTAGTGCAGAATGTGATGCAGATGAGTATTTAGCCTTAACATATAATGTAATTTGCCAAAAATGTGATCATTTTCATTAATTGGGAATATGCTACCTAATCTTTTTTTTCTATGAAAATTTAAAACATAAATTGGGCCAAGCTGAGTGTGACTCCAGTACTCAGGAGGCTGAGACAGAAGGATTGCCATGAGTTCCAGGGTAGCCTGAACTACATAGTGAGATCCTATCTCAAAAATAAATAAGAATTGGTAAGCAGAGAGCTCTCCGGCTTCTAGAGAAGGCTCTTGTCAGAAGCAGTTATTGACTCGGTTTTTGTGTTTTTGCTCTTTGTTTGCAGTGACTTAGCGCTGCGGAATTGTTTTCTTACCTCTGACTTAAATGTGAAAGTGGGAGATTATGGAATCGGATTCAGCAGGTACAAGGTAAGATAAAGGTTTGAACACTGTCTCCTTAATGGGATTTAATTTCAGTCCTGAGGTTACAGCACAACTTCATTTTGGGGGTAAGGTATAAGGTTGCGGTCATGGGGCCTCTCTGGAGCAGGAGTTGCTCCTTCATCTTAATAGCACTATTGGCTTCTTGTTCATGGTTTGTCTGACAAATCAGTGGCTCTGTGCCCTGAGGCCTTGTGACAACTTTCCAAATGCTTTGTTTAAAAGACTTTGCTGGGCGTGGTGGCTTATGCCTATAACTCCAGACTTGGGTGGCTGAGGCAGGAGAATCACTGAGTTCAAGGCCAGCTTAAACTACGTATCAAAATCCTGATTCAGCAAACAAATGGATTTGTACTGAGTGTAATTGATGTAGTCTAGTTCTACATAAAACATTTCAAAATTAACATGTCATATAGAATTTCTTTATTCTTTATTCATATAGAATTTCAGTAAAATTGTGGCTCAAATTCACTAAGCTTGCCAGGGAGATGGCTCAATGGAATAAGCGCTTCCCTGGCAAGTGCAAGGGCCTGAGTTCAGTCCCCAGTTCCGGAAAAAAAAAAAAATTCAGTAAGCTTGGGGTTTAGGTTTTTAATTGTCATAAATATACCCCCTAAGAAAAAGAGCACATAAGTAGATAAAATTTCGCGTGTGTGTGTTTTTTCCAACTGAATGAGGGAACACAGCATGAAATTGTGTAGCTCCATGCTATCAGGAACCTCACAAAGCAAACCTGACCTTTATTTTCTAAGCAGCAAAATACAGATAATATCTGTTGAATGTTTTAGGGGGTCAAGGAATGTTTTCAAAACATGATATGCAAGTGTAAGTTGATTATTTGTCTGCGTGGCAGCTCTAGTGACTTGAGCGCCTGCTGTCTGCCAATCACTGTGAGATAGCCACCAGGATTATCATTTACTTGTCACTGAGGCAGGTGGGCTTCTGTGGTCCTCGTGGTACAGATAAGGAGGAAGGCCTCCCACCTCTGTAGCCTGCCTAGGGCTCACTCCCTAGTAGCTGAGGGAATGAAGAGTGACTCAGTCTCTATTTAGGGCTGGGGCTTAAACCTCACACTGAGCTGCATCCCCAGGCTCCGCTCCTCCTTTCCTCTCTCTCTCTCTTTCTCTCTTTCTCTTCTCTCTCTTCTCTCTTCTCTCTTCTCTCTCCTCTCTCCTCTCTTCTCTCTTTTTTTTTTTTTTATTTGAGACAGGGTCTCAGTAAATCACCAAGTTACCCAGGCTAGTTCTAACTTGTGATCCTCCTGCCTCAGTCTCCGGAGTGGTGGGATTACAGGTGTGGATCCACATACCCCGCCTGAGCTCTTCTTGCACATCAGTGGCCCGCCCCCTCCCCGCCCCCTAGTTAGAACTAGCCTGGGCCAGGCCCTGGTGCCAAGGGCCTGGCAGGGCTGGAAGGTGATTTGCTGAGCCCATGTGGCTGCACGCAGCGTACCTTCCACTTCCAGGAAGGGTGACTGAGTTCATGGCTCAGAAGCTAGCTCACCACACCCAGGAGGCTTCAGAGAAATGCCTCACTCCCTTCCAGCCAGAAAGGCTCTCTTCATCACGACTTTATTTTCTTGATGTGTTTTAAGGTTGGATGTGTTGGTGTTTTCTTAGAAAGACCTGGAGTTAAGTCACTGAGCTCACAAAAAATATAATTCTACTCAACACTGTATGTGCTTTCTGACAACACAGGAAGATTATATCGAGACAGATGATAAAAAAATCTTCCCTCTGCGATGGACTGCACCAGAATTAGTAACCAGCTTCCAAGACAGACTACTGACTGCAGAGCAAACTAAGTATAGTAATATCTGGTATGTATCTGTTTCCTGCTTTACTAAGCCTTTCTCTAGCAAGGGCTGATGTTCTCTTTGAATAAGAATGTAACTGTACGATGTGGGAAGAAGAGTGGGGATGGTGTGAAAAGGCTGTTTAGCAACATTGTGGCTCTGATCACAGTTGCCACAATGCGATGAGCTCTGAACTTTTGCCCATTTTCCTCCCTAAAAACAGAAACCACATCTTATTTTACATTCTGTACCTACCACGGAGCCTAGCATACAATAGGTATTTCATAAATATTTGTTCAAGTTAATGAAAAAAAAAGGGGAATTCGGACTGTTACATGATACAGTGATTCATAGGGCTCAGTTTAGTGAGCGCTAAAAACAGTGTCCAAATTGCTAACAATTTTTGTCAGTTTTCTTAATTGATTGCAACATATTTTTTGGTGCTATTTTCCTTCTTTGTCACTTTTTCTTTCTCCTCTTATTTTCTTTTGGTTTGATTTTCCTTTAACTTTTTCCTTTTAGCCTAGAGGAGTACCCTCGAAGCTACAGCATGATTTACATTATTACTTTAACACTTGCTTTCTTAACCCTCAGGGTGCTTCACTTCTCTTTACTTGTATACCATGTGTGCAGATACCCACATAATTAATGCTACTTTAACTTCTTTTACCCCCTAGATTTTTTTTATTATTTATTTATTTATTTTTAATTTTTATTTATTTATTTATTTATTTTTGCGGAACTGGGGATTGAACTCAGGCCCTTGCGCTTGCCAGGGAAGCACTTATTCCACTGAGCCATCTCCCCGACCCCTAAATTTGTTTTTAAACAAATCAGTGTGCATTTAGTTTTATCCATGTAATAAACCTCTTTGCTCTTTTGTTACTGTTTAATCTCAGACCTGCCTTTTAGGATTCTTTTTTTTCTTTGTGCGGAACCGGGGATTGAACTCAGGCCCTTGCGCTTGCTAGGGAAGCACTTATTCCACTGAGCCATCTCCCCAGTCCCATGGATTATTCTTCTGTTGCTTGAAATAAGGGTCTTTCATTGAGGTCCAGTCATAAAAGACTGTTCCATTTTTTTGTAGGTCTGAACATAGCTTTATTTTGTCCTCATTCTTGAAATGTATTTTTACTTGATGACAGTTATTTTCTCTGGGCATATTGAAGAGATATTCTACTGGCTTCTGGCTTCCATTGTTGCTTTTGAGAAGTCAGCTGTAAGTCTGCCTAAGTTCTCTGAAGGTAATACGACTCTCTCTCTGGCTGCTTTTCACATCTTCTCTGTGTCTTTTTTTCCCCTGTACTGTGACCATGGTATGTGTATGGGTTGACAGTTTTTGCTCAGGATTTATTTCTGTTTCTAAGATAGATTGGTGGTATTTATTAGTTCTGAAAAATAGGCCTTTATCCTTTAAATATTGCCTCTGCCCCATTTTCTCCTTTTTTAGAAGTGAAATTAGATATGAATTATGGCTTGTTGTTCTAATTTCTGTCTCTTAATCTCTTTTACATAATTTGTCTTTTTAACTGTATGCCACATTCTAAGTAATTTTTCAGGCCTATGTTCCAATGACTAATTGTTTCTCTACAGTTCTTTTTTGGCTGTATCTCTTCTGTTAAATCTCTATTAATGTTCAATGGCAAGTATTTTTGTTTTTGCATTTGTACTTGATCTTAGCCAAAAAGCCTTTTTTTTTTTGGAGGGGGGGGCACTTACAAAATTTTTCATAGTGTTTTTAAGATAGTTAGATTAATTAATAATAATTACCATAAAGCTTTGGTCCTCCTGGGTCTTGGTGATGTCTTTTTGCTCTGGGACTTCTCCATGGTGAGAATCCTTGGAGATCTAGAATGAGGCACCTTCCTCCAGGGAAGACCTGTACTTGCTTCTGCTAGGTACCTGAGTGTCCTGCTTTGTACAGGCGACAGCGCTAGGCCAGCTTTACATGGTCAGTGTTAGAGTTGTGGGCCCGCAGGTGATGTGAGTTTGGGCTGCACATCCAAGGACTGGCTCTGCGGTCACTTCTTCACACACACACCCTTATACGTGCATCTTTACTCTCACTCCTTGTCCATCTCTTCCTCCCCCAGTGCTATGGCAGCTTTGCCTTTTAAGGAGGTGAAGTGGTGTCTCTGTGACTGGCAGGCCCAGTCTTGATTCATGACTGTCACCATCCCCTCCCCTGCAAAGAAAAAGAAACCTTGTGAAGTGCTTCAGTAGAGGTAGTTTAATTTTCTCCTTAGCATTCTGAGTTCTACATGGTATCCCGGTTATTCCTTTGGGCTCACCAGTGTTCCTTTCATCCTCATCCCCTACTCTAACCCTCAGTATTGGGGATTGAACCCAGGGCCTTCACACTAGCTGTATCCCTACATTTTTTTTTTTTTCTTTTTTGATGGTCTTACTAAGTTGCCCAGACTGATCCCAAGTTTGGGATCTCCCTGCCTCAGCCTCCCAGAGTGCTAGGATTATAAACATGCACCAATACACCTGGCTCCTTTCATCTTACGTTTCGTCCCAAGTTCTCACTGTACTTCAGGGATGATGAACCTGAAAATGTAGCCTGTGTTCTCTGAGACTGAGCAGTGCTTAGTCCTGACTGTTGGAGCAGTCCCTGGTGTCACTGCTAGGTGCTTCCAAATGCAGAAGCTCCACTGCTCATGCTAGGGTGACTAAAAGGACCACGCACAGGGAGCCTGGGGAGAGAGGGAAAAGACCTGTGGGACATTTTTCTTCCCAAAGAAATAAGACTGGGTGATCCTAAGGAGCCAGAAGCCTGTGCTTCAAGTCCTCTAAAGAATCCTGGCTTGGAGAGGGCCTTATTGGGAGAACAGAAGGAAGGTGAGTTGGGGTGGAGCAAGTGAGGCAGGTAGGCAGGTTTGCCCAAGGCCACACCAGGCTTAGTGGCAGTGCAACTCGTTTTGCTACTCACCATATAATATCTCTTTGGTTTTTATTGTTTATGAATTTCTTATTTTCCTCAGTTAAATTGTAAACTCTTTAAAGTCATTGAGGGGGCTGGGGAGATGGCTCAGTAGAATAAGTACTTGCCTGAAAAGTACAAGGGCCTGAGTTCAATTCCTGGTTCTGCAAAAATAAATAAAAATAAAAGTAAAGTTATCGATGATGTCTTTGGTGCAAAAAAAGGGTGTGCCCTTAGAATTCTATGTCTGGAAGAAAGGCACTTCTTACTTTGGGATTGGAGTGGGGAGGCTTAGCTTCTTTTATTTCCTTTGACAGAAATGATCTCTCAACCTAGATACTGAATATGCTAAAAATTTTTAGTCATTTTATAAAAATAAGAAAATTTAAAGTTGTGTTTTGTGACGCCAGATATTGAGCCAGTAAGAGTTTGCTGCTCAGCTGTGATCAGAGTTGCATAAACCACTGATGGCCAAACCATTGGTGAGCTTTCACACCAGTTTCCCCAGCCACGCCTGATCTGCTCTCCCAGGGTCCTTGGGGGTGGATCACACTAAGTGCCATCGCGTGCATTTCAGGCTTCATAGATGACAAGTGATGCTATGTTTAGGAAACGTTTCAGTAGGAAAGTCTCAGTGAGACAGTACATGGTGAGAAGGCAATGCAGAGAGCCCTGGGAGGAAAGGAAAAGTGCTCCCAGCAGCTGGGGCTGTTTCCAGGGGGACAGCACTGGGTATGAGAGCAAGAAGGGGTCTCTCACTGCAGTGACACTGCCTGAAGCTTCTTCTGGAACCAGATAGCAGCCAGGAACCTAGGGTACCAAGGAATGGCCAGAACAAGAGATGCGGGGATCTAATGGGAGAGAAATTTTGTTCATGTCAGGATTTCCTTAAAATACTTTATGGTGTTTTACAACTGGTATGAATGGGATTTTTTTTTTTTTTTCAATCTCAGAATTCAGAGTATTAATCTTGTCTCCAGTCTTTTTGCTGAGGACTGAAGACATGCCAATGTCTTTCAATTAGTTTCTTGAGCCTTTAAACTGACAAGCATAGCCTCATCATGTTTGTTACCTCTATTGCATATTTTTATGGGTTGGTCAAAACTTCTGTTATGCTATTTGTAGTAACGTGAGAACACATTCTTGTCCTCATTTTCATGGAGCCCCCCACCCCTCCTTTGGCTGTTGACTGTGATGTTAGTTACTGGTTTAAGAGTTATTGTGTAAATAATCTTATTATTAGTAGCCTTTTCAATATACACCTTGTCCTTGAAATTCCTGACTTACACAAATAAAAAATGTGTATGTTAAAATTTGACATCTATAAGGTAGAAATAATCATTTTCTGTTTCCATAGGTCTCTGGGTGTGACTCTTTGGGAACTTTTTAATAATGCTGCTCAGCCCTACTCGAACCTGTCTGACCTGGACGTCCTTAATCAGGTCATCAGGGAGCGAGACATCAAGCTCCCAAAGCCCCAGTTGGAGCAACCCTATTCCGATAGATGGTCAGTACCTTCTTGTTCTGCTTAGAAGGAAGTAATGTTTCCTTGTGTTCATTCATATGTTTCCTATTTATTTAGTAAATACAGGAGAATAAACCCAGGACCTTTTTACTGAGCTACATTTTCAGCCCTGTTTTGATGTTTTTTTTTTTGAAAAGGACATACTCAGTTGTCTAGCTCAGCTTCCACCTTCAGTCCTCCTGCCTCAGCTTCCCAGAGTGCTGGGATTATAGATGTGACCATCATGCCCAGTTTTTTTTTCCTATTTTTAAACAGAAGGCATGAATAGCAACCATTTTTACACTATTTGTGACTGATTTAAAAATTAATATCTATTTAAATTTAATATTATTTTCAAAAATGTTTACAATAAGCAGGACTTTGTATAGTATGTGAAATAAAGAAAAAAATTGATAATTAGAAGAGCCAGTAGTAAGGGTATGGGAGTTTTCTGTTGTGGAATTGTTTTAAAATAAGATTATTTATATGAGCAATGACTCATGTGTGAGAACTTAGATAGCATAAAAATGATAGTGTTCAAACTGGCAGTGGGAACTAATTTGCATAGTGTATATTGACACTTGCAAGACAAATTTACTTTTTATATAAGTCTTTGGACTATTTCTTGCTATATCCCAGTTAAGATCAGCTTCGCCTCCCTTGCAGCCACTGCCTGTACTCCCTCTGCCCAGCGGGCAGCACTCTGTTTTCAGATGCTGCTCAGCTCGCCAGGTGGCTTGGGTTGTCTCACCCAACTCAACATACATGATCTCTAAATGCAGTGCTGTGACATTGTCTTTGTCTTCGCTTCTGCTTATGGGTACAGTTTAAGATTTTGGACATAATGATCCAGCCTTGCAGAGACTATCTTGGTAACTGTTCTCATTGCTAAGACAAAATACTTAATATATAAAGCTAAGGGAGGAAAGGTTTATTGTAGCTTACAGTTTGTACAGGTTTCAGGGCATATTCTGCTGACTCCAAGGCAGGGCAGTATGGCAAAGGGGCACTGCAGGAAAGGAACAGTCCATGGTGGAGTAAGCAGGAGGCAGCAGAGCAGCAGACAATAGCAGTAAGCTTCCTTTCCTTTTTTATGCCATCCAGGGCACGGCCTTTTGGGTGGTAGCACCCACACTCAGGGTACTCCTTCCCATGTCCACATCCAGATTCATTCTAAACCGATGTAGTTATCACACCCCCTTACTCCGAGAATGGAGCACCCTAATCCAACGCCACATACCCAAGAGCCAGCCACCTCCAAAAAGCCCCACATGTGCATGTGTGAGGACATCTGAATACAAGCTGTAATAGAGCTCCAGTTCTTCCTTCAGCTGCTACCTGATTGCAGGAAGCCACAAGTCACTGAGACTATTATTAGCTAGTAGAGATCAGATACAAGAACATTTGTCCGTATCAGTTCTCACAAAATAGGAGTAAATTAAAAATTATGAGATAGTTCATGTGTTACAAGAGGTGGGAGACCTGTTTCAGAATTCAGTAGCTGAGCTGAAGTGCATAATCACCAGAAGAACAAGTACACTAGTAAGTGAATTATAGCTAGATACTTAGTTATGTCCTGCAAACAAAAAATGGATGGGCCCCGCTAGGCCTGGTGGCATACACCTGTAATCCCAGTACCCGGGAGGCTGAAGCACTAGGATTACAGTGAGTTTGAGGCCAGCCTAGGCCACATAGGGAGTTCAAGTCCAAGCTGAACTAATTGCCAGATCCTGTCTCAAAAAGAAGATAGCAAAAACAATACATGAATGGCCCACATACCGCAGTTCTATAATGTCTTTTCTTGCACCATAATCTCCCCATGAACTGAACCCCCTTCTGATGGTAGGCAGTGATTGAGGTACAGAAATGTTTGAGGGCATTGGGTTGGCTATCAGGGTCTTTGTAATGTCTTTTCTTATTTTAAAATAATTATTTCGCTAATTGCCTGTCCTGTACACCCAGGTATGAAGTTTTACAGTTCTGTTGGCGGTCGCCAGACAAGCGGCCAGCAGCCGAGGAGGTGCACAGGCTGCTGACTTACCTGCGGATGCAGAGCCAGCGGGACCCAGAAGTCGACTTTGAGCAACAGTGGAATGCTCTCAAGCCAAACACCAACAGCAGAGACACCTCAAGCAACGCTGCATTCCCTATCCTCGACCACTTCACGAGAGATCGCCTTGGTCGAGAGATGGAAGAGGTCCTCACGGTGACTGAAACAAGCCAGGGCTTGAGCTTTGAGTACGTGTGGGAGGCTGCCAAGCATGATCATTTCGATGAGCGCAGCCAGGCTCACCCTGATGAAGCCTTGTCCTACTCCAGCATCTTCTTTCCTGTCAAAGTGTTCGAGAGCTCCCTTTCAGATCCTGGGCCTGGGAAACAAGATGACAGTGGCCAGGAGGTCCCCCTTAGAGCCCCTGGAGTGGTTCCTGTGTTTGATGCTCACAACCTTTCTGTTGGAAGCGATTATTACATCCAATTAGAAGAAAAAAGCGGAAGCAACTTGGAGCTCGATTACCCGCCCGCACTGCTCACAACAGAAATGGATAACTCAGAGAAGGCAGGAGCGGAGGGATCACAGTTCACTACCCTCAGGAACCTTGACTTTGAGGAATCTAGTACAGATGAGGATTTCTTCCAAAGCAGTACAGACCCTAAAGATTCTAGCTTAGCTGAGGACTTACATGTTACCAGTGGCCCTGAGAGCCCTTTCAACAATATATTCAGTGATCTTGAGAAGGCTGAGGATTTGCCCAGCCACCAAAAAGTATTTAACTTAATGGAACTCAATGGAGTTCCAGCTGACTTTACACCAGCCACTTTAGGTTCAAGTTTAGAGGATCCCAGGAAGTCAGGAATAACTTGCCACTCTGACAAAGAAAAGCCCCGTAAGCTCCTTGACCATGAGCCCTTTCATTTATCAGAAAATCTTTTGCCCCAAGATCACTTTGATCCATTGAATGTTCAGGAACTATCAGAAAACTTCTTGTTTCTTCAAGAGAAAAACTTACTAAAAGGCTCACTGTGTAACAAGGAGCTTATAAATGATCTTCACACAGAACTTAAGAATGCTGGTTTTACTGACGCTCTGTTAGAAACATCACGGAGGGACTCTTTAGACAGTGAGCTTAAATTTGCTGAAGATGCACCCTGCTCTCCTTTGTCACAGGAGAACACAGGTGCCAAGGGTGAAGATGCAAGAGTCACACTCAAGAGTGCCACTCAGAGCACCTCGGTACCACCTTCCCCAGAAGGACAGGTACCTTCTACCTCTCTCACAGCAAAAGAAACATCTCCTGGTGGCCCCTCAGATTCACTTTCAAAGCCAGGAGCAAGCAAGTCCACAGGTTTGGACTGCAGCGTCCCTGAGGACTGTCCCTGCCAGGACCCTCATCTAGACTCTGCAACTCCCCCTGTTGAAATTCCCCCCACCAGTGCCAACACCTACAGCGTGGACAGTGGGCCCCCTGACAGGACTCACCCACATGATGAGGCCTTAGGACTAACCAGAAGGGATGCTGCTTTCGCGGCTGGGGTTCTCATCAGTCAGGCCAGTACAGGGGACAGTCTTCCAGAATCCAGATATGACGTACAAAATCAGCCCTTTTCAGAAGACCAGCATGGTGGCAGTTTACAGGAGAAAAACTTAGAAGCAGTAGAGACTTTTATTAATCAGCTCAATTCTAAAGAAGCCACCAAAGACATAGGCTTGGTGTCTGCCCTTTCCTCAGACTCCACCAGCCAGGACAGCCTCCTGGAAGACAGTTTATCCACAGCCATCCCAACCTCTGAGCCGTCTGTGGAGACACCAGACTCCCTGGATTCTGTGGACGTCCACGAAGCTTTACACAGCCCTCAGAAACTCTTGCCCCCTGATAAGCCAGCAGACAGTGGCTATGAAACGGAGAACTTGGAGTCTCCTGAGTGGACTCTGCACCCTGCCCCTGAGGGCACCTCAGATTCAGACCCCACTACTGCTGGAGACCCTGGGTATAGCAATTTGCCCGCCAATCCAGTCATCGTCGTGTCAGATGCAGGCAGTGGCCACCGAGGTGCGGAAGGCACCTCACAGACCTTTGCCCCAGGTTCCCAGAGCTCCTATCGAGACTCTGCATACTTCTCAGACAATGACTCGGAGCCAGATAAAAAGTCCGAGGAGGTCCCAGGAGCCTCTACTTTGGCCTTGGTGTTAATAAAGGGCCAGTCGCTGCCTGAGCCAGTCATCCCAGAGCAAAGCCCAGGTGCCAAAGACAGCTGCCTGGAAGCCCAAAAAAGCCAGCCAGATCAGAGTTACCCATCTGTTCTACAAAATCCTGGCAACCTGCAGTTAGGAGAAATGCTGGAGCCGGCACAGGTTGGTGTTTCCAAACAGATGCATCCTGTGGAAGACGAGGCCAGCAGCCCCCTGAGTTTACTGAATTCAGAGCTGAGCAGTGGTGATGACTTTGAGACACAGGAAGATCATCCCTGCATCCTCACATCGACGGGAACCAACACTAATGAACTCCTTGCCTACACAAGCTCTGCCATGGATAAGTCCTTCTGCAGCCACGCAGAGGGCCCCAAACTGAAGGAGCCGGACATTGAAGGGAAATACCTGGGCAAACTCAGCGTGTCTGGGATGCTTGACCTCTCCGAGGACGGGATGGACGCTGATGAGGAGGATGAGAACAGCGAGGATTCTGACGACGACCTGAGAGCTTTCAACCTGCACAGCCTCAGCTCTGAGTCGGAAGATGACACCGAGCACCCTGTGCCTGTGATCCTCAGCAACGACGAGGACAGCCGGCACCTGCGGAGCCTGCTGAAGCCAGCATCAGCCGCAGCTGAGGCTGTCAGTCAGCTGCCCGAAGACTGGAAGAAGGAAAAGAAGGCAGTCACTTTTTTTGATGATGTCACAGTGTACCTGTTTGACCAGGTAGATATCTGTTACCTGAAGATTATTTGATGTCTGTGCCTGTTGGAAAGTTTAACACTGTTAGGAAGTTGAGTGTGGTCTGATTTTTATGTGGTTTTGAGACAAGATAGTGATGATACAATGTAACCTGGGGTTAACATTTCTAAGATTAGGCAGAAATATAATTCATAGTTCTAACAGTGAATTCATACTAAATTAAGGGCAGAATACCTGAATGGTTTTCTGGACTTCTTTTTTTTTTTTTTTCCTGTACTACAGATTGAACCCAGGGCCTTCACACTGAGCTACATTCCAGTCCTGTTTTTTCAGTCTTTTGTTTTAAAACAGGTTGTAAATTGCCCAGGCTGGGCTGGCATTTGTGGTCTTCCTGCCTCAGCCTGCAGAGTAGCTGGCCTTACAGGCATAGCCACTAAGCCCAGCTGTCTATTTTATCGTCTTCCTTTCTGTTGCACACTGCTTTATGCTCTTTTGTTCTACTGTGGCTTCTTTTTCTTTTTCTTTCTTTCTTTTTTTTTTTTTTTTTTTTCTTTCTTTCTTTTGGTGCTGGTGATCAAACTCAGGACCTTGTGCTTTCCCGGCAGGCGCTTATGCTGCTGAGCTATCTCCCTGGGCCCCTTTTGTTCCACTGTGTCCTGTTCATTTTTGTTCTTATGATGCTTCTCTGAAAAATCCTTAAACCTCCACATTTGAATGTAGCGTGTGTGCTGGGAGGGTGGGGAGAGAGGTGTGGTTAAAGGAAGAAAAGTGGCTTCCTGTGCTCAGCGATCTGAATCTGAGAGGGGCCCAGCAGCAGCTGCCTTGCTCCCAGGTGCTTCTTACCCACACCCGCCTTGGACAAGCCCTGCGCCATGGGCGCTAGCTGCTGGATGAGGGCCATTTCCGCTGGGAGCTGTAGTGAGCCGGGACTGAGGGTGAAATCGCTGGGAAGAACAAATGTTTCTGGGCTCCGTCAGAGTTTCGCTTGCTTGCTTGCTTGCTTGCTTGCTTGCTTGCTTGCTTGCTTGCTTGCTTGCTTGCTTGCTTGCTTCCTTTTTTTGTTAATTGTTTTTGGCACTGCCTGATTTTGATATCAGAGTAATGCTGGCTTCGTAAAATGAATTGGGAAGCATTTCTTTCTCCTATATTTCCTGGGAGAGATGATTTAAACTTACTGAAATCTTGCAGTGATTGCTTTTGGATCCATGGGCTTTTAAAAAATATTTTTAAATTTCATTGATTTCAGCCTTCTCTCTGATATTTCCTCCCTTCTGCTTTATCTCTATAATTTCTTAAGGTAAAAGCTTGGGCTTTGAGACCTTTCTTCTTTTCTAGTATTTGCATTTAATTCTATAAATGCCCTTTAGGTGCTTTCTTAACATCTCACACATCATAATATATTGTATTTTCCTTTTCCTCTAGCTCAAAATAGTTCCTAGTTTTGCTTAAAACTTGCTCTTCAACTCGTGGATTATTCTGAGTCTATTGTTTCTTATGCAGATTTTCTTGTATCTTTACAAGATACAAAGTGTTACTGACTTTTAGTCTGATTTTTTCCGTTATGGTCAGAGAATATATTTTTGTGGTTTCAGTTCTTGGAGATGTGTGAAGGTTTATTTTAGAGCCTGGATATGGGCTGTCTTGATGCATGTCCCATGGGCACACACAAGACTGCACTTTCCTCTGTGGAGGTAGAGTACGTTCTATAAATATCCAGATTACGTTGTTGGCGGTACTGCTCAGTTCCTCAGCATTTTCACTCGTGTTTTTGCCTGCCTGTTGCTGGAAAGGGAGTGCTGAACTCTCCAGTTGTAGGTTTGACTTTTTCTCTCTTCATTTTTTGCTGGATGTGTTTCGTAGCTCTCTGAGACAGAGGACATTTAGGATGATGGTCTTCTTGGTGAATTCACCTTTTTATCATTATATAATGACCTTTATTCTTGTTTCTGTTATACATGTGGCTGGCTGCTCCAGCTTTTCATTAGTATTTGTGTGGCTTTTTTTTTTTTTTATCATCTTTGTCCTTTTAATCTACTTCTATCATTGTATTTCACATATATAGTTGGGAATTTATTTAATTTTTTTAAATTGTGCATATTTGGGGGGTACCAATGGGATGTATTGTTGCATGTATACATTATGTAATGTTTAAATCAGGGTAAACATTTATCTCCTCAAACATGTATCATTTCTTGACGGGGAAATACTTGAGACCATCTTTTCTAGCTTTTAGAAATACATATTATCTGTGGTTGCCCTGCTATGCAATAGACCTTTTACTCCCACCTGAAACTTAGTACTCATTGATAAGCCTTTCCTTCTGTCCACCCACCCACTCAGCAAAGGAGCATGGGGCAGGGTTGCTTATAAAAATGTATTCTGGAAGTCTGTCTTGAGTGGTATATGTAGACCATTTACATTTTGTGAAAAAAAAATAATGGATACATAATATATATAACATATATATAGAATATATGTTATATATATATATTATATATATTTATTTTATTTTATTTTATTTTATTTTATTTTATTTTATTTTATTTTATTTTATTTATTTTTTATACCAGGGATTGAACTCAGGACCTTGCGTTTGCCAGACAGACTCTTGTAACCACTGAGCTATCTCCTAAGCCCTCATGAAAATACTAGTATGTTTGAATTAAGGTGTAACCTTTTCTAGTTCTTCCTCTTTCCTTCCTTTAAGTAATTGACATTTTTGGTATCACATTTTAATTACTGCTTTTAGTGGATAGCTTGGTGTGAGTTTTGGTAGTGCTTGTTCAAGGGATTCCCCACATGCACCGTCTGCTTGGCGTCAGTATTTCCCCACCTCAGGGAAGCGGGAGCCTGGCTACCACACCGCCTCAGGTTCTCCCTCCCTGCTTTTGATAGTGTAACATACATGGAAACCCCTCAGAGGGTATGATGAGTTTTACTTTCAGTCTTCAAGCATATTGTATGAAATTTAAGAGGGAAGAAGTATTTTTTTTATATTTATCCAGATAGTTACTATTTCCATTTTCTTCATTATTGGTGTTCAGGTTTGCATCTGGTGACATTGACCTTCTAACTGAAAAAGTTTGTTGAGCTTTTCTTTTCTCATTTTTAAAAATTTTTCACTCCAAAGCTGTTCTCTTTTTTATCCATGTCACACTTAGTCCTCAAGAATATTTTCTCTAAATATAGAGTTCTGTGTTGACAATTCTTTCAGCAAAGAGATCCTTTCTAGCTGGGGGCGCTGTGTTTGCAAACGCTACTGCAGCTGTCATTCCTGCATGAACACAATGTGGCCATCTTTTCCAGAATTGTGCAACAAGTTAAGTTTATGAATCAAGATGCCACTGTACCTGCCTTCCCTTGGATCCATGTCCAACAACACCCACTCCAGAAAAAAGTGTTGCTTCTTTCTGGCCTTCATAGTTTCTCTTGAGAAATTTGTGATCACTTAGATTGTTCTTGCCCTTTCAGTAGTGTCTGTTCTCTCTAGCTGCCAGCAAGGTGTTGTCCTTTATCTTCAGCTCTTAGTGGTTCAACTGTGATGTACCTGGACTTGGATTTCTTTGTGCTTATCCATTTCAAGTTTGCTGAGCTTCTTCAATCTGTAGTTTTATATCCTTCACCAATTTGAGAAGTTTTTTAGGCATTTCTTCATCCAAGTACTTTTGCTATGCAGTACTCTCTCCTCTCTGCCTGGGACCCCAATATTAGACCTTTTAGTGTCTTCGCAGTTGACCCAAAGTTCTGTTCTTTATATCCAGTTGTTTGTCATGATATTGGCTGGATTAGATCATCTCTATATATTTTCTTTGTTTCACCATACACACATACTCACTCTCTCTCTCTCTCATACACACACACACACACACACACACACACACACACAAGCTGTGACCCAAGGTTTTGTGCATGCTTGGCAAGTGCTCTACCACTCAGCTACATCTCCAGTCTTTTTTTAAAAGACTTACTCTGAGACATGATCTTGCTAAGGGCTAGTTGCCCGGACTAGTTTGGAACTTGTGATATTCCTGCCTCAGCCTCTGACATAGCTGACATTACAGAAGTACCACTAACGTCTGGCTTATCTGTCCTTTTCTGAGACTTTCTGTATTTCTGTTCAAAAGTTCTTGCCCTTACTTGCAAGACTTTGTTCTGGTTTGGTTCAGTTTAGTTTGCTTTGGTATGTGGTATGCATGTATGTGTGCTTGTTTTGCTTTGGAAGGTGTTACTGTTTTACTTTGGTATATTTTGGTTCTGGGGATTGAATACAGGGTGTCTATCACACATGGGAGGCAAGCGCTCTGCCCGAGTTAATCCCCAGTCTCAGCGAATTCCAGTGTCTTCTTGAGGTAATTTCAGCACCTATACCCTCTTGACACTGGCGTGTGTTGACTGCTTTTGCCTTGTGAATTGGGTTTTGCCTGGTTGTTTGGCTGCAGGGTGATTTTAGATTTTGTGTCACATGGTACCATGCAGTTATTATCTTATTAACTTCTGTGATGAATGTTGTTATTTTTGTCTTGAACCCAGCCTGGTTCAGGCCACTGGCCCCAATTAGCCCCTGTGGGTTGTGGTTTCAGTACTTGTTCCCCTTTTGAAGTCTGCTACTTTGGATGCCACCTGAGGCCAGTCCAGAACACAGTGTCGTGTGTCAGCCCCCCAACACTCAGTTCAACCCTCAAAAGCTTTGTGTTGTTTGGGGTCTGCTCAGGTAGGCCTAGGAGCCCCTAACACTACTTTCCAGGGCCCTGGATTTTGTAGCTCTGTGAACTTCCCCAGGCTGGGGCCTGACGGTGCCTTATCTAGGATCAGCAGGAGAGGACAGCAGAAACCAGCAGCAGTGCCCTCACTCTGGATCACTGTCTGCCTGTGTAGCTGGGGCCTCAGACCCCTCAGAGTCACAAACTGCTGTCACCATTGGGTTGTGTAGGCCCGACAGTGATAGAACAGGAAGAGGTAGAAAAAAAGCACCTAGAATTCCCTGTGTGGACATTAGAAGCCCTTGCCTCTCCTGGAACCAAGAACCAAAGGCCTCTGCAGCTCTGCCCACACCAGGAGTCCCTCTGCCTTTGAGGCTGAGTTGAATACAGCCCAAGGACATAAGAGGATGACTGGCCAATGAACTGCTGACTTGGTGGCACTTTGAACTGGAATTTGTCTGCATCAGCTGCTTCACTGTCCAGCCCAGTTATCAGGCTTTATTCAGAGGGAGAGGTGGGCCACCCATCTATCTGTTCCTTCCTACCAGCAATGAAACCACCCTCGCTTTAAACTACAAGGCACATGCAAGCAGGACTGTGGCACGCTGGGTGGCTCCCTGGCACAGGCTGACAGGTACTTCTGCTTGGCTTTTCAGGAGACCCCAACCAAAGAGCTGGGGCACTGTGGAGGAGAAGCACACCGCCCCGGGCCCAGTGGCCCGGCGCCCACTGCAGGCTCACCCTACCTGAGCAGGTGCATGAACTCTGAGAGCTCCACGGATGAAGAAGGTATTTCACTTCATTGTCTAGCTTAAACACATCCTGAAACAGAGCATTGGGTCATGTGAACACTTGGGCAAGATCCCATGGCTTATTACTTTGAATAACCTCCGCCCCACACCACAGCTGGCCATCTGCTGGCGGGGCTGGTGTTGGCTCAGGTGCCCAGCACACCTGTGCTTTCGGGCTCCTCCTCTATGCATTGTGCAGTGATAAGAGGAGGATTTTTTTTCTAGGTGGAGGCTTCGAATGGGATGATGACTTCTCCCCAGATCCTTTCATGTCAAAGACAACGAGCAACCTTTTGGGTTCCAAGCCTTCTCTTCAGCCATCCAAGTACTTTTCCCCGCCACCACCAGCCCGGAGCACAGAGCAGAGCTGGCCACACGTCTCCTCCTGCTCCAGGTTCTCCATCTCTCCTGCCAACATCGCCAGCTTCTCTCTCACACACCTCACCGACTCGGACATCGAGCAAGGCGGTGAGAAGCACCCTGTATGGGCTGGCATGGGCGGGGGTCGGTCGAAGGGCTCGGGTTTTGGTTTGGTGGTATCCACCCCCACCCCTAGGGACTTGAAGACCTGTTAATCTGATGTTTCTGAGTACTCTTGCAGAATAGGTTATAGATTTGTTTTTACAGCCAAGTGTGATGGCACACATCTGGAGCCCCATCACTCTCGTAGGCTGAGGTAGGATTGCAAGTTTAAGCTCAGCCTGGGCAGTTTGGCAACTTAGCAATAGCAAGACACAGCACAGCACAGCATGTAGCATACAGCATAGCATACATGAGTAGGGACGCAGCTCTGAAGGCCCGGGGTTTGGTCCTTAGTGCTGTGAATCAACGAATAAATTGGTTTCCATAAAACTCCCACAGTCCTGAATTTCAGTGATGAACCAGCGCCTCACCCCCACTTAGAACCCATTCTTCCCCCTGCTGGGCTCGAGTGCCCTGGGCCTGGGGTACTGGCTGTTCCCCAGTTCCCTCTCTGCCTTTGCCATTCCTCTGGCCGCCGCTCTGCTCTGCAGTCTCCACTTCTTTTCAGAGCTGCAAGCCTTCAGCATGTATGGGCTCCTCTGAACACTCGGTTGAGGTTTGGATTTGCGCCTGGGCACACTCCAGCATTTCCCCTGGGACTGTTGGTTTTGCCATTAAGTCCTGGCCCCTGTGTGATACCAGAGGGCCAGGTGGGAATGCACGGGCACAGGCGCATTTGGAGTGGCGAGATCTGAACATATGGGTCATTTTCCCCATACCCAGATGGAAAGATAAATGTTAATAAATAGGTACTTTTTTTGTTTGAAGTTTACAGATCAAATAATAAATGTGAACCATAAAGAGCTTCTACTTGTGTTTGCACGGCTTTACTAGTGCCGAGGAGATAATGCCTGCACCCGAGGACCCGGTGGGCAGGTGGGCGGGCGGGTAGGAGTGTGTGCAAGCAGCCACCGGGGCTGCTTTCCTGCCCTGCGCTGAGCTTGGGCACAGAGCTGGCATGGAGCCCAGCAGCTAGGTGCACGGGGTCAGTAGGCAGCACTGTGGAGAAGGACGGGCAGCTCAGGCAGGGCTGAGGCAGGCAGATGGAGGTTGCAGACCCGTTCCCTGCCACGCTGCTCAGATGCGCTCCAGATTTCTTGTCTAGGACAATCATTTCTGAAACCTACTTTTTTGCATTGCTTCCTCTCTCCTAAACAGGCAGCAGTGAAGATGGAGAAAAGGATTAGGAGGTCTCAAACACGGTCTCCAAGCCAGAGCAGCGTTCCGACCCATGAGCCAGAGCAGCGGCATCGGCTGACGTGAGACTGGAGGAGTTTGGAGGCAGAGCTCAGTGGCTGCCCCACCCGCTCACCGCAGCCGCACCCCTGAGGTCCGCACACTTGAAGGGTTTACACGCTGGTCCCTGCATCCATGTGGGGAGTTGTGCGTGCCAGGGTGTGTCTGTGCTCTGTGCTGTGTCCTTGGCGTCCATACCTGTGCCTCCGGGGCTGGACACGTCATGAGTGAGCAGTCATGAGTGAGCCATATTTATTGTTGTAAAAGAAATCACTAATTGCTCTCTGTAATTGCACTGTGGATAAGTGTTGTAAGAGTCCCCAATATTGTACAGAATCGTAAATTATTCAAGGAAAATACAGCAGGTCAAGCTGGTGCTATTCACTAGTTTGATTTTCTTTTTCTTTTCCTTTTTTTCCCGTTTGATAGTTTGTTTGCCCTGCATGGTACTTGTAAAGCTTAAATATTTTGAGTGATATGCTGTCTTCAGAATTATTGGAGCTGTATATATGGTACTCTTTCATACATGATACTGATTCTGAATGTTAGTGTTTTATGTTCTTATAGGAAATATTTTTGATGAGTCCAAAAATACTGCTCTGTTACTTACAATGATTGAATCAAATGTTTCGTGTCTTCCCCAGAAGGTTGTTTCCCTGTGGCAAATGCAGCTTCTCTGGGCTGCCAAAGGGTCTTGCATCCTCTCCATGAGATTCCCCCACTGCCGCTGGTGTTTATAAACCTGTTGGAAAGACTGACAGGTGCGCCCACACTCAGCTCTGGGTTGCACTGCAGGGCCAGTGTGGTGTGGCAGATCCTGCTGAGTCCTTCTTTCAAGACAGTGGAGACCTCAGAGGCATGTGTCTTCCCCTGAGAGACTCCAGCCACCAAGGATGATTTGTCCACTGCAGCAGGTAGTATTGAGTCAAGCTTTTAAAACATTTTTCAATTTGGAGCCACTTTGGGGGCCTGGCCCTAGCTCAGTCCTTTAAGTGGCTGCTTCCACAAAGCTGTCAGCCTCAGGTTGCTGGAGTTTGAACCTCACAACTCTCCCGCTGGCCAAAAGTGCCCTGAAGGCATTCGAGGAACAAAAAAAAAAAAAAAAAAAAAATTTGGAGCCACTTCAAGTCCAGCCAGGAGTGGCCAGTCTCCATGACCCAGGACACTACATTCTGCGCCACAAGGCACCACAGCAGACCCCAGCAGCTGACCCGTCCTCCTGTGTGTGTTCATGGTCTATGCATCCCTCAGGCCAGGACCCGTCTGCCTGGCCCTTTCCTCCTGCTGTAGGCACCAGGTCCTGTCTGGCTTTGAAAGGAACTGAGCGTTTCCAGTGCAGCTTCATCTGAAACCAGTGTCCTTCGCACAAAGCTGACTTCATTGTCCCAGGCTGCGAGGTCTGCGTGGACATCGGGAAGTCTCCTGTGGCTGCACAGCATGGCCGCACTGTGCTGTGCTAAGCAGAGCACTGTTCCTGCGGGGTGGTACCCTACACCGGCTTTCACCCCAACTTTTCCGGTGCTGATCTGCTTCCCACACTCCAGTGTGACGCATGGATGACTCCAGGCCCTCACTGTCAGCCGCAGGGCTTGGGTCCCAGTGCAGACTGCAAATGTGGACGTTGGCTAGAGTTTACATAGTAAATTATGATGTTTCTTATCGATTTAGATTCACTCCATGAATTTTTTTATACTAAGCAATAATTTTCCAAAGCAAGAAAATTCAGAATGGAGTTGCCCTTTCCCCCACTTGGTGTGAACAGAGTGTGCGCCGGGAACCTGCAGGGAGCACTGGCTCTTGGGACACCTGTACTAACAGCAGGGCACTCAAAGGTGATGTTGCCAAAACCGTCAGAGCTCTCAATTTCTTACCATAGAAACTTCCTGAGTTTTCCAAATTTTTACCTCTTCCTACTATTCTTAGTTGATTGAGAGAGAAGAGGCAGTTATATTAAATTAATTAAATTATAGGTCCAAGACACTCAGATTTAATGGCTAAAATCAAACAGTTATAGACTGAATATATGGCCTTCTTATACAGTAAGCCCAACATAAGTTTGTTGGTATTACAGAGCTGTACATTTTCACTACACTTAAGATTTTAACATCATAAGTCCCATTTTTAATTTTTCTATCGCTCGTGATTTATTGCCAAAAGAAGCATTTTGTACACTGAGCCAGGGTGGGGTAGACCCGTACTACGGTGTTGCATGGAAGGGTAGGCTGTTTCTCATCAACATGTGAGTCCATGTGTTCTTTTGGAATCTCAAGCAATACAAAGATATTTAAATTAAAGCTTCAGCCCATTTTTGAAATGTCAGCACATGCTTTGTTGTTCGGTTCAGGGTTTTTTTAGCATACAAGTCAGTTACCAGTGGTAGGTTTCTCAACATACTTGTTCTAATGCAGCGAAATAAATCAGTGGCACCGTCTAGATGATGCACGGAGGTTGCTAATACCTGGTTGCCAGAGTGTATATTTTAAATCCTACAATATAAATAATCTGCCCTCCATTTCCCTCCTAGCCAGATGCTGATTTGTGTTAGTAACTGATCCTGTCGTAAGAGAAAAATGTGGAGAAAGTGCTCCCAGATCCACCCCGAGACTCCCACATCCGAGTCAGAAGCTGTGCAACTTCAGGATGAAAGAAGCAAGCTTAGCTGCTGAGTTGACAGCAGAGCGTCCATTCTATTTTTAAGTGTTCAGGCCCACCGTTTCTATAGAGATGGCTTTAAGCAAAGTCCTTGTATGTCTTGCTGATGTAAAAGGCCTTTCAAAACCCTTTCCTTTGCTTCGTATTTCCCATAGGGTATTTGTAGAATTAATGACCTATTACATATCTGTCCGCAGGACCAGGTGCAAGGGAGGCAGCTCCTCATTTTCCTCTACTCGGATCCTCCTTCACCTGAAAATTAAGGTGTTGGCTTTGAAGTTTTGGGCTTCGGAGCACTGGCCTTGGGAGAAGTAGCCTTAAAGTAAGGATGGCTGTGCACACTGACTTCAGAAAAATCTCAGAACAATATTCCTTAGTAGTAATGGGTTGGCCGCAGTCTTGGTTGTTGAAAACTCTCTTTAATATATAAGTAAGTTCTTAAACATGTGTTGACAGTATTGCACCACCAGTAACCTGTTTAGTCAGCTTGAAAGGCTTGAACAGGGGCTGTTAGGCCTCAGAGGTCTGCGGAGGGCCAGCCGGGTCCTGACAGGGCGCGTGCCCACAGTTTCTTCCTCTCTGCAGACAGGGACCTGCGCAGTGGTCACCTTCCAAGTCCCACCCCTTCTGAGTTGTACTAACCACAGCAGAAAGAGGTTCACGGCAATATAACAGTTAATGAACTTCAGTTTAAATTGTGTACATTTTTAAATTGTAAGATTTTTACTGTATATTGATGCATAGTGTGATTCAATAAATTGCTTGTAATTTAAAAATATTTAATATTCAAAATAAATATAGTTATATATTTATAAACTGTTGCTGTGTCTATTCTGTTTTTTCCACCGTGCTGGGGTTGGGGGTGCCCTGTCATTGCCTGCCCCACCCTGCCCGCACTGCCTTGGTCTCCCTAAACCTGTCAGTATCCTGAGAACTCAAAGAGGGTTTCATCACTAGAAAACAAGGGGTATTTTTTAGGCTGAGGTGTGAGTCTTTGAGGTTGAATCCAGGGCCTTTTATACTACTGAGCTACCTCCCTAGTCTTTTTAAAGTTTTGTTTTGAGCCAGGGAGATGGCTCAGCAGCATAAGCACCTGCCTGCAAGCTCAAGGTCCTGAGTTCCATCCCAGGTACCAAAAGAAAAGTTTGTTTTGAGACAGGATCTTGCTAAATTTCCCAGACTGTCCTTGAACTTGGAATCTTCCTGTCTCAGTCTCCCAGAGTGCTGGGATTACAAGGATATGGGGTAAAACAAGTTGTACGTAGCATTTATGCTGCTCTGAAGTTATCTGTAATATAAAGCCTTTGCACCTGCTGAAGAATTCAGAACCGTTTCATCTCTAAGGTCTCCTCACTAGCCCAGCCCCCTCCCCCAAAAAATATTCCTATGTGACAAGATGCAGAAACTGAGGCAGGGAAAGATCACTTGTGTTTTGGTTCTGCTTTGTGGGGAGTGTGGGTGTGAGCCCAAGCTGTCTACCTCCCCGCTCCTAGAGACCAAACCCCAGGAACAACCAACCTTTCCTACTGACCAGGGGACACTTCCCGCAGGAGCTCCGCCTAGCGTCTGGGGGATGGGAAGAGGGACCCGCGTCCCTGAGCCTTTCGGGGCTGCAGGGTGCGCTTCCGGATGCGCTGGGGGCGGGGAGCCGGCCCTCTAAAGCTCTACGAGGATGTGGCCGCTACCCGTTCTTGGTTTCTATGATTACACAAGCGCTGCTCCTCCGCGCCTTCAGACTTGGGCTGCAGCTTCCAGCCTTAGCGTGAGGCCAGGTGCGGCGGTCAGGTGCAGCCAGCTCTACGGCTTCAACCCCAGAGGCCCTGGGGTCGCCAGTCTCGGAACGGGCCCTCCACCTTACACTCGGCGCCCGGCGCTTCTGGTGGTGTCTGGGGGACCCCCGGTCCGGAGAGCGAGGGCGTGGCTGTCCACGCGGCCCCGCCCCGCGGGCTCATTTACATGCGTCCTCGGCCCCGCCCGGGGCAGCTAAAGCGACGTGTCCTTGTCCCCCGTGGGCAGCCTCGGCGTGTGCAGCCACGGATCCCCAGGTAACTGGGCAGGAGGACCCGGGTGGGGCTCCTGGGAGGTACGCGGGGGCAGGACCAGGTGACAGCAAGAAAAAACCCAGGCAATGGCCTTGGAGGAGTTGTCCTCCCTCCTTCCCTGGTGCTGTCCACGTGGTGGGGCTGGGGGCTGCTTCAAGGACCTTGGAAACTGTCCACCTCTGATCTGTGATGGCTGCACCGTGTCCACAGAGGCTCTGGTCCCAGTATTGTCCCAGAGCCTGACACATCCAGCAGGGCAGGAGGAATGGCTTCCTCTCCCTGGGCCAAAGGCAGAGTGGCCATCCTACTCCAAGATTGGAACACATCTCTGGGTGGTCTGAGCAGGGTGTCACAGGTCACCTATATTCAGGAGGCACTCACATGAGTCCAGAGCAAGATCGCCGAGTGTGAAGAGGGGCAGGAGATCAGGGAGAGCTTCAGGCTGATCTGAGATCATGGGAGGGGGAGCACATAAGCGAGCTCAGGGCTCGCAGTGTACATGGGAGGTCCCTGGGATCACCGTGCACCAAGTGGTCAGTTACCACTGACCTCTGATCCATTGCATTAGGGAGGAAGTTGATAGGAAACTGCCTTGTGCGTCCACTGACCATTCTGAGTGACCACAGTGGCCTGCATTCTGGATTTCAGTTCTGAGAGACTTCTCCCAGCCGCCATCTTCTGGGACAACCAGTTCTGACCATGAAGACCAAAAACAGACCCCCCCGGCGCCGGACGCTGCTGCAGAACACCGAGGCCACTGCAGAGGAGCAGACCTCCGACAGACCACAGCCTGGCTGCGGGGCAGAGCTGGCCAAGGGTCTGCGGAGCAGGACGTCCAGGGCGGCAGGGACACGGGCTGAGGGTGGGCGCCGGCGACAGGGGCCAGGCAGCCGGCGAGAGAACAGCATCCAGCGGCGGTTGGAGAGCAATGAGCGGGAGAGGCAACGGATGCACAAGCTCAACAATGCCTTCCAGGCCCTTCGCGAGGTCATCCCGCATGTGCGTGCTGACAAGAAGCTCTCCAAGATCGAGACACTCACGCTGGCCAAGAACTACATCAAGTCACTGACCTCCACCATCCTGACCATGTCCAGCAACTGCCTCCCAGGCCTGGAGGGAGCAGAGCCCGCACTGGGGCCCAAGCTTTACCAGCACTACCAGCAGCAGCAGCAGCAGCAGCAGCAGCAGCAGCAGCAGCAGCATGTGGCTGGGGGCCCACTGGGGACCACAGAAGCCCAGCCCCAGGGCCATCTGCAGCGGTACTCCACACAGATCCACAGCTTCCGAGAGGGCAGCTAGCACCCAGACTGGGACGGGGTGGCAGTGATGGCCCAGCCTGCTCCTCCTAGCCCTGGTCCCTCCAAGCCTCAAGCCCCAAACCTGTGATGATGTCAGCTCTAAAAGGTTGTGGTCCCCCACAGCTCTTCTGAAACTCAGCTCAGCCACTTCCCTGGAGCAGTTTTTTAACCCCCCAGGGGACAAGCAATTTCTCTGGTTGTTTCTGGGCCATAACCCTGAGCATCATAAGGCCCAAAGACCCAGGAAGGTTCCAGGCCCTGCTAGTTTTGCATTGAGCTGGTGGCCTCAGTGAGTAGAAAAGGCCCTTTTGCCTTCTTTAAAACTAAATTCTCTTCCATGCATGTCTCCCCCATGAGGAAGGTTCCAGAAGATGGTTGACTTACAGGTTTCCCTGAGATTATTAGGCAAAGGAAGGGGGCTTTCTCTATGCTTCATCAGAGGCCTAGGTGGGCCTGGGGCTCAGCCCTTTCATTTGGGTAAGCTGAAGTCTGGGGCTAACAGATCAGAACACAAGGCCTTTCTAGAAATATGGCAGAACAAAAATGGAGGCTTGTTGAACAGTCAGAAAGCCTAACCAGAGAACTCTACATTTGTTCTAAAGGGACCTGGGTCAGGCTTCTTCCCTAGACCCTACTGGGGGGCTTCTGGAGAGGAGGTGGTGCTCTGGGCTATGATGGGGGGGTGGTCTTTATGGGGCCTCAGTGCTGGGTAGGAGCTCTCCTGACCCTCTGTGCAGGGAGAGGGTTTGGGGCTTCCTTCACGGTGGAGTCTGGGGTGGCAGAAACTGCCCTCCCCCACCCGACGCTGCTACTGAGGGCAGGGATTGGGTGGCTTGGCAGCCCAGCTGCCCCAGGCGCAGCTTCCTTCTGTCTGGGCGTTCCTGCCCCACTGGCTCTGCCGGGCTGAGCCACTTTGCTGTCAACCCTGCTGGCATCTCCTCTCCTTTGTCCTGCTGCACGGAGCTATCCCAGAGATCCTTGAGGACCTGGGCAGGGGAACTTAGTTAGACCAGGAGCTTGGCTCCCACTGCCCAAGGCTGAGGCTTTTGCTGGCCTATCTCCAATACGTGGCCTTGCCCTCCCCAAGCTTGGGCAGTGTAGCACTACCTGTGGGCTTGGGGTCAGCCATGGCCACATGAAGGTTAACAGGTGGCACCTGAAGGAATTTCCACTATGGTCCTAACTCCCAGCCGGGTGCCCTGGAAGGAAGCCCTGGGCGCACCAATCTCCCTGTCTCAATGAGGCCATCTTGTGTCCTTCCCTGTAGTCCTGGGAGCCTGGCCTGATTCCACGGCTCCAACTGTCCATCATGGGTCAGGTAGGGTCCCTTGGGGGTGGCCTCTGGGGAAAGCTCATTGGCAGGGGCTCCACTAGTGTGAGCTAAAGTTGGACACAACAGCAAGCTTGAGGCTGACCCAGCTCAGACTTCTCCTGCTATAGGGATCTCCACTCAGAGGTCCTCTGAGATGAGTGAGGCCTCCACTGGCCCCTGGAAGCTGAGCTCAGCTTGGCCCTGGCCTTGCCGGACACTGATGACATGAGCCCACAGCATAGACTGCAGGGTGCTGCCCCCAACACCCTCCTGAGAACTGGACACATCCCAGGGTGGCCCAGGGTCACCGTTTTGCTGGACCACAGCCTCACGTCTTGCCAAGCTGGCGCCTGCAGCCTTCTTCTCTGAGGATGAGCTGGGCCCAGGTAGCCAGTCCTTCCTCACAGGTGGCCAGAGAGGATCTGTGCCCTTGGCCACATTGCAAGGATCTTCAAATGCCTCAGTCCCTCTTCTGGGTGTCAAATATTGGAGGACAGAAAGATTGCTGACCAGTCAGCATGGACTCTGGATTGGTCTCCCTCGAGCCTTGTCCTGGACCCCCAGCCCAGACTGGCTGCTTCCATGCTGCAGGAGGTCCTGTTGGGCCATTGGGGCTAAACTTCCTCAACTACCTGGGCAAGCAGGTTGGAGCTGGGCGAGCTATTGGCCCACCATCTTCTCCACAAGCGGAAAAACCAGAACTGCGACTTTTCTGTGTAGGAAAATCAAACTGGAACTGAGCAGTCTGTCCCCTGCTGGTGGTGAAGATCTCTCTTAACTGACCCCAATTTGCTTTTTTTTTTTTTTTTTTTCCTAATCAAACCTTCAAAGTATGAACTGATGCCTTGTCGTACAACAAAAATAAAAGATTAGAGCACAATTGCTGTGGCCACATGCATATAGGCATGGGAACTGTGTATTTCAATCAAAGTGTATCAATAAAACTATGCTGCCATTTACACTGTGACATAAGTTTTTATTGAATAAAGCATCTGAGGAATCAAGAGTTCAGTGATGCTGAGCAGGTAAACGGTCAGGAGAGGTCACTGCAGAGACAGGGCAGGGTGACACCCTCCAGGAGGTTGCCTGAAAGCTACCTGCACAGTGAGACTCAAGGGCAGATGTACAGGTCACAGATGTGAGGTGACAAGCCACACTGCCTATCAGGAACCTGATGGGGAAATGTAAACAGACGAGGGATCCACTCTTGAGGTTGCAGGGCAGCTCCACACCCTGGTGGGACCAGCCCAACTCTGGAACCATGGCCAATGGACAACAGGCCTCTCAAATGCCATGGGAAGAGGGCTGGGGTGGGGGCAGTGCTCAGAGTCAGCTTCTGGTGACAAACTGTAACAGCAGTGTGGACTCGGAGGCAAATGCAGAGCTGCCCTTTCTGTCCCAGAGCCCAACAAGTGGCCAGTGGCTCATCCTGGCAGATGAAGGACTTGGCTCTGGCCATCTCCTGGCCAGTGTCTAGCTGGAGGAAGATGCCACCTTGTATAGGCAGGCAGGAGGCTGCGTGAGGGAGCTGGGGCACTGGCCAAGCATGTCCTTCTTGCCTGGCTGGCCAGGGCACCCCTGGGGCAAAGGTGCCTTCTGTTGTGCCCCAGGCACAGAACACTCAGGGCTCAGGCCACACCTTCATGCCAGGCACATTACTGCTCGCCCCCAACACCTGTGGGGCCCAAGGTGCCATCAGCTTCCACCCAGCCACCCTTCCATGGGATGGCCACCCTTCCACATGGTCGGGTGAACCAGAAGGCCCCTGTCCCACTGAATCATAGGCAGGGAGGTGGCCAAGGACTCCTAATGGTAATTGTGCACGCACACACACCATCTCCACCTCCCAGTCTTCTCTAGGGGACACCAAACCACTGCGAAAGAGGACAACCACCCACAACCAACCATCCATTTCTAAGCTGCCCACTCTACTGAACATGGAAAATACCCTCCGCACATTCCCACTCTGGGGGGTGATCATGGCATGTGATAAGTGACTTGGGCTTCGTGGAAATTCCCAATGGGGTAGGTAGAGCCCAGGTGTGATTTGGAGGGCTGGCCTAGAGGGCTTTGGGTTCCAGGTTCCAGCTTAGGGAGGAAGAAGGCAGAATAGGAAGCGACAGTTGGGATGGGCTGTGGCAAGGGTCCTTGTCCCCAACTCCTCTCTCTGACATTTCTCCAAGACTGGGGATGTGGGTGGGCGAGTCCCACAGAGCGTCACATCTCTGGGCATTTCGGCCAGTGCTTTGGAAGTTGGCTGCAACCTGGGCCAGACTTCCCGAGTCGACCTTTGCAACACCCTCCACGGTGTGCACTTCAGCACAGAATGGCTCAGCCTGGATCTTTCAAGCCTGGTGTCACCCCCTCCTATGGGTGGCAGGCATTCTCAGCAGCTGACAGGGCCATGGGCCTTCTGCTCTTGGGACACATTCCGGGAGGCCCTGGTGGCATTGGCTCGGACAGAGATGTGGTCCCAGCCTCCCTAGAAGGAGAAAAACCACATCATCCTGAGGGGCTGTGCCTGGGGCCCTTCACCAAACCCATCCCCAATTCCAACCCCAGTTCCCAGCTAGTACCATGTCAGCCTGGCACATGTGCAGTGTCCCCAGTATGGCCCACTCACCCCGATACCGTAGTCCCAGCCCTGTCCCTTGGGCTCTCGGGGCTGCACACCGGTGCGGCGACACACGGTCCCCCTGCTTAGGCCATGGGTCCCCTGGACCTTGTTGGCGATGACCCAGACCTAGAACACACACCCAGCCACTGTGGGTCATGGGGACAGGCAGGATAGGCCAGTGAAGACAACCAGGTACCCGACACCTGCAGTCAGCCCACCTGGTCCAGGGGTCCCACAGACACTCTGCGCACGTTGTTGGACACGTGCTCCCAGCTGGAGCCCTGAGGGTAGCTGGGTGTGACTCCTCCACGGTACCACAGGTTCCCTGGGGGCAGAAGAGGCCAAAGTCAGTGGCAAAGGCCCCTGGCCCATCCTGCCACGTGAGTATGGGGGTACTGGGTGCTGTGTGTCAAGGCCGTGCCACCTCCACTTCTTCACTGTCTTGGGCTCCTGTTGACCTGCAGCTGAGAGCCTGGGCCACAGCCAGCCTTGCCCTTTTTATGCCTGGGCTTCCCTGAACTTCATAATTGTCCCATTGTGCTGGGCAGGGCTGGCGTTGGCCTCTTTCAACTGAGGTAGAAAACTAAGGACAAAGGCATTTTAATATTTATTTATTTATTTATTTATTTATTTATTTAGTGTGTGGCCAGCTCAGCCCACCAGGGGGCGGGGCTGGCTGGCATGTGGTGCTGGGGGATTGAACCGAGGTCCCTGTGCTTTGCTTGAGCTTAGCTTGTTCTAAGTAGGTGCTTTAGACCACTGAGCCATCTCACCAGCCCCAACAAAGGCATTTTAAACAAATAAAAAAGAGCTGTATCTGGAATAAACACTGGACATCAAGTCCCACGTTTGTCTTTTCTCAGCCATCTCATCCATAAAGGTGACAATCTTTTTTTTTTTTCTTTTTTTCACAGAGTTATATCCCTAGTCCTTATTTATCTATTTATTATTTTTTATGTATTTATTTGGCATAGGGTTTTGCTAAGTTGCCCAGGCTGGGCTTGAACTTTTCTTTCTTCCTTTTCTTTTCTTTTTTTTTAATGTATTTTAGTACAGGGTCTATAGGGTCTCACTACTAGATCAGACTCATAGTGATTCTCCTGTTTTCAGCCTCCCAAGCGCTGGGATTATAGGCAAAAAACACCATGGCCAGTCTCAATCGCAGTCTCAGCGTGCCCTGGTGGCGGGGCCAGCACAACACACTGGGGATTGAACACCATCCACTAGGCTGTGCTTAAGCAGGCACTCGAGTCTGCTGGGCTATCTGGCTGGCCCTGGGCTTGAACTTTTGATCCTCTTGCTTTAGCTTCCCACAGTGCTGGGGTTACATGCTATGGGGGCCAATCTCTTTTTTGGGTTTTTTTGATACAATGTTTTGCTATGCAGCCCACACTGATCTTTTCTTTTCTTTTTCTTTTTTTCTTTTTTTTTTTTCTTTTTCTCATCTTGAACTCACTATGTAGTCCAGGGTAGTCTCAAACTCCTGGTAACCCTCCTGTACCACCATGTTTGGCTACTTAATGATACCATCTCGAGCTGGCCAGAGCCCCGCGGAAGGAGACACAGGGGTTGGAAATGGCTCAGAGCCAGCCTTGTGCTTCCTACAGGGTCCTGAATCCCAGACCTGAGTGAAATGTCCTAGAAAATGCTCCCAGGGTAGGCCCTGCCATGCAGTGGCTTCCCCTGGCAGAAATGACCAGCCCTCTGTTCTCTGTCCAAGTAGGGCCTGACTTCTGGGCCTGGGGCACTCAGGGGAGAGACTAGCATGGAGACGGACCTTGGGCCGGTTGCCTGGCATGGTGACTCCACTAGACATGGACTGTACTATTACATCCAGGCCCAGTCCTTGGGTGGTTCCTGAGGGCCAGGGCCAGGGTGCATGGTCCTGGCTCCGTGGTTACCATGACCTAGGAGGGTCACACTGACACGTGGGCCAACTGCCTAGCTATCATCTGTCCCTAGGGGAACAGCAGAACAGAAAGTCCTGGGCGCTTCTGGGCACCCTGGGAATAGGTCAGCAGGGCAGCATCTCTAGCCATACCTTTCATACCAGTCTGTTCCCTTTGGGGTGCCCAGGGAGTCCCACCCCCCAGTGACCACACCACAGCCAAGATTACTTGCCATTTTCATCCAGGGCGTACACAGACGTCTGCCCCACGGACACCTGCATCAGCCTCTGCTTGGGGGGTGATGGGATATGGTACCAGCAGTCACCTGTGACAGGACAGCTGACTTGGGAGGCCACAAAGGAAATCAAACCTGCCAGCCCAGACCTTTGGGAATGTCAGCTTCTCTGAAGCTCACGGTGAGCTGAGTTGTCACGGCCAGTGTCAGTTTCCAGGGCTAAAGAAACACTACTGGAGCCTGGTGTCAGCTTAGGGCCAACTCAGCCTGACCCAGGACCACCATCCACCCAACACCCTGGTCTGGCTTGGTCCAAGGTCCTTCAGGGGCCATGGTAAGTCCAAAGATGGGCCTAGTGGACCAACCTCAGGAACAAGGACCCAAAGGTGCCCAGCCTGGCATGTAGTCAAGGGTTGGCCGCAGTGCCTACCCTTCAAGCCCATTGCTGTGGGGAGCCTGTGTGCCAACTACGCTACCAGCCCCCCACACATCCACCCCTACCAACCTCCCCCGGCTAGATGCTGAGTACTCAGCACAGAGCAGGTCAGTGTGACCTGCCTCCCCCGAGTGGTCACTGCAGGGCTAGGGAAACCTGGGCAGGAGGCAGCTGCCAAGGGTGGTGGCCATGGTTTGGCCCTACATAGGCTCCAGAGGTGGTGCTAAGAATGGGGGAACCTTTGCCCCAATGCCCCCACCACAGCCTGGTACTCACCCGCTGGCTGGGAAGGGGACACAGAGCCCCGGTAGAACGCAGAGCCATCCCTGGCCACAGCCCATACCTGGTAGCAGGCCCCAATGGAGACTGAGGCGAAGGGCTGGTCGGTGCCAATGTGCAGCCAGGAGGAGCCCTGCAGGTGGGAGAGGGCACCAAGATGACCCCCGCAGTCCTCAAATTCCCTGGCCCAGGATTGGCACACAGTCCAGCACCCAAACCTGCCTGAAGAGTGCAACTCTGGGAAGCACATGATATCCTGGGGTGTCCCTGATATCACATGGTCCAGGTCCTCCTGACTCAGTCTTGACCACAGCGTGACCTTGGTCATCACTGAAGCCCCGGGCTTTACACTAGTATATGCCAAAAAGCCTCCATGTCAGCAAGGCCTACCTCTGTCCCCACACCTGCCCTAGACCCCAAGAGATGGCAGCTCACCCTCAATACCAACTGCTCAGAGGCCCCAGTCACCTGACTGGTGCAAGTGTCCCTCCCCCCCCCCCCGCCATTGCGGAGACCTAGCCTGGTCAGGCCTGGGCCCAACCTGACTGCAAAGCAAGAGTCTGGACTTTGGGGAGCATCTGGGAGGACAGGGTGGCTCAGAGGCTGAGAGGAGGGTGCTCACCACAGGGTTCAGCTCAGACACACCCAGGCGGCAGAGCACATCGCCTTTGTCACTAACAGCCCAGAGTGCAATGTTGTGACCACGGCCATCACCCTCTGGGTTCTCTGGGCTCTCCGGGATGATAGACACGTCCCCAAGGGCGATGGGGGCCACCTCCAGCCAGGGTCCATTGGTCACCAGCTTGCATTTTCTATATGGGAAAAAGTGATACAAGCCCAGGGATGACCTCAAAACTCAAGGCCTATCACCTGCTGAAGCCACTCAGAAGGTCTGGTGCTTGGGGGCTGGGTGGAGGAGCCTGCACAGCCTGGAGCAGGACAGCAGGACGCCCAGAGCACCTGATGAGTGGAAGTGATCCCTGCCCTCCCCCAACCCAGCCAGCCTCTCCTCCAGCCTGAAAGCAGAACCTGCCAGTGACATTTGTCTTATTTGCTCTTGAAAACAAACTCTTCAGAAACCAGAGCGCGGGGAGCCGCAGGCATTTCCTGGGCTGACATTTACTTTGACTCTGCTTTCCCGCCCTCTCCATTTCTTCCCTTGGGACAGAGGTCAGAGACAGGCAGGTCTGGCCCATATGAGCCACAGTCCCTCCCCTGGGGTGGTGGTTCCTTTGGGAACCCAGGCTGGGACCAGGCCTGATCTTGGCACCCTGTGACTCCATCTCACCTGGCCCAGCACCTCCTTCTGACAAAATCCTTCATGGTTTTGTACCCGTGGTATGAGCTGCAAGACGAAGCGGAGGTAAAATCAAGACCACTTCATGGAAGCTTAAGGAAAGCGACACCGCACATTCTTTTCCCACCTGCTGCACAGCAGCCTTGGTGTGGGTCACGGGCTCAAAGGAGCTCAAGGCATGAGCAACACATGGAGAAGGCGTCCCCTTTCCAAATGTAAAACGGTGACCCTCGGAGTCACCTTTTTCATTAATCCCACTTCCAACAAACTCATCCCACTGGGGTTGTCACTTTCTGAAGCAGTTCTAGAAGTCCCTTTTCATGAGTGTCTTCATAAGATTTGATCAAAAACAGGGTGACTACTGTGCGAAGTGTCATCCAACAGAGAGGCACGTTCAGAAAAACACAAGCGTGGCCCCATCCACGCAACTTCTGGCTCTTTCCCCAAATCAAAATGACCAACAAAGGGAAGCTTTAATTGGTTCAGGACATCAAGGTGCTCATGAGGGTGCAACTAAAGACAGGGAAGAGGACTTCCAGGGCTGCTTCAGAAAGTGGCAGGAACGATGGGGTGAGCGTGTTCAAGGTAAGGGGGAACTCATGGCCATGGCTTTTACTACAATACACTTTTAAAAATATTAAACTGCTGTTTTCCACCACAGCGCAGAGGTATCGCAGCACACGACAGCCCTCTCTCAGACACCTCCCACTGTCTCAAGCAGGCCAGGGCTTTAGTGCAGGCTCCAGGTGACAGCTAACACAGGGCATGGCAAAGCTGGCTGGGGAATGAGCAGGGCCTGTCAATTACAAGATTCCAGGGCGACACGAGAACCCCTCGCAAGTCTCCACAGATATAAGGGACACAAAGGAAGGCTGGATACGCGGGGTGTTGCTATCTTGGAGTTTCCATGGAGCTTCCGTGCGTGTTTCACAGGTGGAGTACACTTCTTTCTTTCTTTTTGGTCCTGGGAATTGAACTCAGGACCTTGTGCTTGCCAGGCAGGTGCTGTGCTGCTGAGCTATCTCCCCAGCTCAGTGTGTGCTTTTATTTTTGCCTTTACATTCTTTTTTTTTTTTTCCTTGTTCAGCCTGTTTGCTCTGCAGAGCTGGTTTCTCCCATATTCATTTACCCCACACTTTTCATATAAACATCTGACACCTTTTGGGACTTCTCTTGTCCAATTCTTTGTTTGGGACAAGGACATGGAATACTTTTGATTGGTAAACCATTGGTAAAATATCTACCCTACTGTAACACAGGGCCCTGGTAGCCAGAGCCTCCCTGGGCCTGAACATGCAGCGGGTCCAGCTCAGGAGCTCTGGGCACCCTCCCTTATTCAGCCCTTTTGGGGGAATAGGAGCTCTCGGTGTAGCTGAGAGTCCACGACTCAGGGATGAGCGATGAGCCCACACTCTGGGGCTGGCCTCAGCCTCTCAGCTGCGTCTGCTGGGAAGTCATTGGTCCTGGTTCAGGTTCTCCCGGCTTGGCCCTTCCTTCCCTCTGGACACTCATGCCCTATGTGGGGCTAAGCAAGCTAAGCAGCGCTTGACACTGTTTTGTTGCCACCTCACCCATTTTCCCACCTGCCTATCTGGCCTCCCAAGATGGCACCAGCCTCTCTCCAAGGGGTCGGTGCTGCCCCCTCCTCCTGACACCCTCCTTTGGGCTGCCCCCACCACCATTTAGGATCTGGCCTCAAACCCTCTCCTCCAGGGTAGATGTCCTAAGCCCCCTACTTGAACCCCTTAGACATCAGATCCTTCCAGAACAACCCAGAACCTTTGGGCCTGGCACAGCAGGGACAAAGCCAGTGCTGAGGGAGTCACATACGGTTACATGTTGGCTGTGCCTGTTCACTGAGATGTCCCCAACCCCTGGCCTCCTACTCATCGCCACTGGCCCCTGCCCTGCAGCAGCTGCGCTAGGCAGGTGCGGAGAGGCCTCAGGGCCCAGGGTCCCAGTATTTAGGCACCTGGCCCATGAAGCCCAAGGCAGAGAGAGATACTCACGCAGGGAAGTCACTGGCATACTGCCACCCTTCCTGGTCCGTGCCACCAGGAACGCTGAAGTCCACGTACCAGTCTGAAACCTGGGTAGTAGATAAGTCGTGAGAATGGGAACTCATCTCCCCAGATCAGTCAGAAACATGAGGAGCGCTACAGGATGGGGGGCTCACCCAGGTCCACTGTAGGGACGGGGGCTTCGTGCTGGCCTTGGTGCACTCCTGCAGCCCCGAGGCGTCGCTCCACATGTATCGGTCGGTAGGTAGGCCCCTGCGGCAGGAGGACAGGCATGGGGTGACATCCAGGACCAAGAGCAGAAGCCACCCCAGACAGCCCTGCTAGCAAATTTGCACCCTGTTCCTGGGGTCCTGACGAAGCAGGTCTACAAGAAGCAGCCCCCTGGGTGGCTCACTTACTGGGATGACAGGTAAACACAGAACACTCCCAGGCAGGGCCTCCAAGTAGGACCACCCCACATCACCATGGTGCTCAGGCCGTGAGAACTGAGCTGTCCACTGAGGTCACAGTAGTCAGTGCACATGGGGAGTCACCGCTCTTTTCCTGGTGTTATGGGTCGGAAGCTGTCTCCCGGAAGATGCTGATGTCCTAACCCCTAGCAACTTCAAATGTGACCTTGTTTAGAAACAGTGTCTTGGGGCTGGTGAGATGGCTCAGTGGTCTAAAGCACCTACTTAGAACAAGCTTACCAAAAACATAGGGACCGTGGTTCAATCCCCCAGCACCACATGCCAGCCAGCCCTGCCCCCTGGTGGGCTGAGCTGGCCACACACACACACACACACACACACACACACACACAATAAATACATAAATAAACTTAAAAAAAAAAAAAAAAAGAAACAGTGTCTCTACACATGGTCCTGGTGAGATAAGCTCACCAGGGTGTGCACTAACCCAGCAGGACTGTGAAGACCTGGTGGAGGTCAATCCCCAGTACAATAAAGGAGAGAGAGAAGGAAGGGGAGTCGTGTGTGGTGGTGCACACCAGTAAACCCAGCACTCTGGGAGGCTGAGGCAGGAAGATCAAAATTTGAGCCCACCCTGGACAATTTAGTGAGACCCTGCCTCGAAATTTTTAAAAAAGAAAAGAAAGAATAAAAGGGCTGGGGGAGAAGAGATCAAAGATGAAAGGTAGGTGGCAGATGGCAGATGGGTCAGCTGGTTTCCAAGCACAGAGCTGAAGCGACTCACAGTGGCAGCACCCAGGACGGAGGTGGCCCAGTTGCTGGTGAAGGTGCAAGAAGATGCATGAACCGACAGGTACACTTGGAAAAATAAAACCTTACTAAATCCATGTAAGTAAATAGAAACCTGAAGCCAAAACAACGGGAGCTGGCAGGCCACACTGATAAGGCCCAGCCTAACGTCACAGGCTGTGGGACAAAGCTCAGAGTGCAGGGTGCACCAGGGATGCCCCTCAGTCCCAGCACATGCTCTGCCTCTCTGGTACCAGCTGCAAGCTAAGGGTGGTTTTCGCATTTCCGAACAGCTGAAAAGATCAAAAGAGGTCTAACATTTTGGGACAGCTGAAAATTATATGAGCTCCAATTTGGTTGTCGGTGGCCCTCCATGAGGTTCTGGAGACAGAGTGGCTTCCTTCATCATCTGTGGCCTGTGGCTGCTTTGATGCTGACAGCCACAGAATTGAAAAGTTGTAACCTCAGGTTTTTCAGATTGCTCGAAAGCATTTTTTAAAAAGCCTCTGACTTTACATAAACATAAAGATGGAAATGGGGTACAGTGGTAATCCCAGCTACCTGGCAGGAGGCTCAAAAACTGGAGGCAACTTAGTAAAACACTATCTCAAAATAAAAAAGGGGGTGCTAGGGTGTGGCTCTGGGGTAGAGTGCTCACCTAGATTTCTAACCCCAGCATAAGTAAATACACATACACAAAAGGGAAACAAAGATCGAGCAACTGGACTATATACATTTAAACATCAACAGTCACACCAAGAGAGCAAATATAAATCACAAAATAGGAGGTACAGCCTCACCACTACCGTGCTCCCCCTAGACATCCCAAGTAAAATCCCGGCAGCCTCCATGGTGTGTAGTGCAAGCCAATAAGCCCAGCACTGAGAGGCTGAGAGAGGAAGACTGTAAGTTTGAACCTAGCCTGTGCAATTTGGCAAGACCCTGTCTCAAAACTTTAAAAGGCCTGGGGATGTATATAGCTCAATGTGAAGACCTCCAGTTCAATCCCCAGTATAATAAAGAAAAGAAAGAGAGAAGAGAGAAGGGGAGGAGAGGAGGGACAGGGGGAGAGAGAGAGAGAGAGAACGAGAGGAAAGAACAGAACAGCACTGTGCCCAGGCCAGGTGGCCGCCAGCCAGGTCAGGCACTGCAGCCCTCACCTGCTGGTGTAGCCTGTGACAGGGTTCCAGCGCTGGTTCTCATAGATGCAGACGCTCTTCACGTCTGACTGCGTGTAGATGTTGCTGGTACTACTGGCCAGGCCTGGGAAGAGAGAAGGCTGCTAAGACTGAAGTCACGCCAGCCCTGAGGCCCTGCAGGTGGCCTGGAACTCTGGCTTGGCTTCTGGAGCCCCAAAGCCTGCAGACAACAGGTGGAAGGGTGGCTGGATCCAGGGCCACTGAGGCAGGGGCAGGCACATGAAGCTCATCTCGCAGGGCCTGGCCTGTCTGGGGTCATCCTCCTGGCCCCACCATGGCCATGGTTATTCCGGGCCTCAATGAGCAGAATCTCCTGCACACCAAACCTCCCAGGCCACCACCTACACCCCATCTCATGCATCCTCCTCCCCCAGAGGCAGGCAGGTGTGTGGCAGCACCCCAGGTCACCTATTAGTGCATGCACACAACCTGTGAGCCCTGGCAGCCTCCATGGTAACAGAGACAGGGGACCATCAAGCCCATGCAGGTGTGAATTCCTGCGGTCTTAGAGGGCCACAGTGCTAGTGTCTGCTGCCTCCTGTCACGGGGCATGGGGTCCGTGGCACGGAATGTCCTTTCAGCACTGCTGCTGCTTCCACTTTCTACTCTGCCTCCCAAAACTTGGCGAGTTGCTGGGGGCTCAGCAATGCCCCACTCCCAAGGTGCTACATGGGAGCTAGAGTTTGGACCTTGGAATTAGGAGCTGGGTCCTGCGTTCATCCAAATCCACCCCACGCCTTTGTCTGAAATGGGGCTGACTGCACGGTAGGACCCAGGAGCTGAACTGGTAGGATATTCACAGCCCAGCTGCTGAGTTCCCAGAGGGAGTCCTAGAGGTAAAGCCTGGTCTCTGGGCACCTCTGCCTCAAGTGTTGGCCAGGAATTGTCCTGTGCAGGCTGGCAGTGGTAAAGGTCACCTGTCAGCCAGCTGTTGTCAGTGCTGGGCCAGGGGCCCTGGTGCTGGGCAGGGGATTAAAGGAACAGCGCATGGCCAGGCTCACCTTGGACGCAGCCTCCACCGTAGCCGCCCGTGTACACCCAGGCCGTGTGGTCATAGCCAATGCCCCATACCACGCCACGGCTATTGGCTTCCACCACCCGCAGGTGACCTCCCATCTGCCGCCAGAACCTGGGGGACCAGGAGTAGGAAGCAGGAGAGACATCTGAGCCTGGCTCCAACCTGCAGCCCACCTGGAGCCCCTGTGCGCAGCCTCCATAGACAAGGTGTTCTACCATGCCAGGGCTCCAGACCAGGTGCACCTGTGACCTCCCTGGCCACCCTGACACGTTAGCCAATTCTGCCAAGGGCCAAGAAGCAATGTACAACAGGGAGGGTCTCAGTCCTGGGTGGAAGGTCCTCAGGAGCCTGCCCCCTATCCCTGCGTTAAACTGATCAGGGACAGAGGTCACAGCAGCTCACACTGCCCTCTGGGGGCCTTGACATCTGACTGGGCAGTCCACAGTAACAGGTACAGGCAGCCTGAATGTGGTGGCAGAACCAGGCATGGTGGCGCACACCTATAACCCCAGCACTCTGGGAGGCTGAGGCAGGAGGAGGAAGAGGTTCACACCCAGCCTGGGCAATATGCTCACTTAGCAAGACACTATCAAAAATATTTCTCAAAAGGAGCTGAGGACATAGCCAAGTGAGAAGGCCTTGTATTTGATCTCCAGCACTGGAATAAAACAAAGTGGTGGCAGAGCTTGACATGAGCAAGAGTTGACAGTGCGACACTGTAGCCTGCCAAGCAGAGGACTGGATCAACTTCCTATAGGGCCACGTCCCTGTCACCAGAGGGCGCTGGGTGCACAGGGCTCACTGAATATCCTGATCCTTTCCTCCGCAGAGGGGTGGGGCAGAGAGGGTTCCTGGGCTTGATTTTGGTGCCCCTACCCGTCCTCCTCTTTCTCAGAGCTGTGCTTACACCAGGCCCCTCAGACTACCTCACTCCTCTAGGAACCTTTAGTTCTTTACTTTTTTGTGGTACTGGGGATTATGGTGCTCTGCACTGAGCCACATTCCAAGCCCTTTCCTGTCCTATCCTATCGTATCGTATCCTACCCACGTGCCCTACTCTATCCTCTTCTTTCTCTTCTCCTTTCCTCCCCTCCTTTTTCCCCCTCTCCCTTTCTATCCTATCCTATTGAGACAGGGTATCTCTGTTTTCCAGAGTGGACACAACTTGCCATCCTCCTGCCTCTGCCTACCAGGGTGCTGGGGTCACAAGTGTACACGACCAGGCCTGTTCCCCTAGGAACTTCAAATGCCTCCAGTGAGCAATCTGTCCTCCAGGGCTGGCCTCCACTATGTCTGGAGCAGCTCCGGCCCTTGCAGCCACCAAGTCTACGCCTGCCCTCCCACCCTGCTCTGCTGTGCACGCTCTCAGGAAACATGCTTGTGTTCTCGCTCTTCTCTCAGGAGCTGGGCATCTGAGCTCCAGGCTCTGAGTTCTAGGATGGGGGAGGGACATGGCTTCTGGGACTTGGCCAGGAGCCTGAGGGGGTGGTGGGGACATTCCCTGCTCACAGCACTGTGTATCCCCCAGCATCCTGCCCAGAGTTCAGCCTGAGCAGGCATGGAGAAGGCTGGGGGCTGGGAAGCCTGCCCTGAGTGTGCTCTGCTCCTCTGGGGTGGAGGGTGGGTCTGGGGAGCTCTGCAGCACTGACCCCTGGCACTTGGGGGACAGGAGAGGCCACAGTCCACTCACATCTGGTCACAGGGTAGCAGGTGGTCCTGGGCCTCCAGGTCTGGGCTGGGCTCACTCACAAAGATGTCCCCCTTGCAGGTGACAGACCAGACGGCCTGCGGGGATGGGCGGCCGTGGATCTTCCGGCTCTCACAGCAGCTCAGACTGAGCAGGGCAAGCTGGGGTGGGTACATGGCAGGTCACTGCTGGGCAGGCCTTGGATGGCTGCTGCTTGTCCCCCAGCCCTTGGGGCCACCACTCACTTACCCAGTCATTCATATCCTGTTCAGTGGTGGCAGCCAGGCGCACAGGCCACCTCTGCCGTGTCCTCTCTGGGGTGTACAGGGCAAAGGAATGCTTGGCCTCGTTAAGCACCGGGACCAGCACTGTCACCTCGTTGAGGAACACGTGGAAGTACTGTTTGAAAAGG